CAGATTTGGAAGGAGTCAGGCCCTATCTGTCTCAAGAGCTGATTCAGACTGCCCGATTCTGATGGAAGTTGTGTCAGTTGCTCCTGATTGTGCCTGAAATAAAAAGGATTTAGGTCAGATTTTGCAGCTAATACAACTCAAAACCTCCCATGAGATCCTAAACTGGTCACTGTTGTTTTTAGGACCGTTAGTTAATGAAAATGCACTGCAGGGTGTAGTCAGTAAGAACAGGTGCAATATGTACATTCTAATGGTGAGGAAATGGATCCCTTTTTCCTCCTCGAATCATGGAAGAAGGACAGTGGGTAGATTATAGGGGTATAATGCTCCTTCCTTTCTTATCAGCTTGCAGTATTTCTTCTTTTCTTGGGTACAGTTTTAAGTTACCTATTTTTTAAAGACTTGGACAACTTTTCTGGAGTCAAGTTATTTAAGAAATTACTTGGGACAGTTAGCATTTGAGTGAATTAAACTTTGATCTTCATGAACTTTTTCCTGACTACAAAGCTGGGTTTGAGAACTAGGGAATAAAGGAGAACAAGATATTGCAGAAATACCGGGGAGATCTCCGACTTTATAATCTCACTGGTAAGTGAAATGAAATGAGAGCTGAATTTGCATGCCCTTTCACAATATGGCAATATTTATGAAGCCCAAGTATCCAGCACTATAGTTTAGCACAATTTCACAGCAATGTATAGACATTTGAAAGTAGTGCAGCCTCTTCTCTTACCTCATTCTACTTTGAGACTTTCTAATATATTTTCTAAAAATAAAAGAAGTGGAAACTGTTTCAGTTGACTTGCTTTTCCTCTGATTTTATATGCTGTGCTTCTCTAATAGAAAGGTGTTAGTCCAGTTGAAAGACTGATTCTTCTGAAGGTATGTCATGTGAAACATTAACAGACTTTTCTGCATTATTAGAATCATTAAATATAGTCCAGAGATGCTTCAGTGGAAACACCTCTTGTAAACAATATCTGGGATCTGTTTACCCAGGGCTGCTAGGCAGCATGCAGACTGCAGCACCATGATGTGTTGTGTAGACTTTGAAGACAAGTGCAGAAACAAAGTGCTAAAAATGGTCAGAGCAAAAAGTAACAGCTATGTGTACCAGGCTCTAATCTGACTTATACGTTTATCCATTTCTTGGTTTCACATCTATCTTTGATTCTCTCTGTAATGAATTTCAGCATTATCTTGACCTACAGAAAATGAACAAACATCATCCTCTAGTGTTATGTCTTTTGAGATTTTCTCTCATGCATTCCTTATATTCCACTTTTCAAAGTCACCTGCTGTTGTGATGCCTGTTATTTGAAGTAACAAATAAGAACTCTTCAGTAGTAAAATCCTTACTATCTCTGAAGTATTGGTCATCTCTGTTTCAGAGGAAATAATGTTCTGAAATATGTGCAGAGTTCAGAGAATGTGCATATTCCAGATTTGCACCTATGAAAGGGGAACTAGAGTGTGTGCTTGTAAGCATATGTACATGCTTGAACTGCAGTCAGTGCCTCATTTTCCTGGACTGAGTCCTTTGCTTTTGTATTCCTTCTGCAATAAGCTATGCGCACAGTAGCCCATGCAGACCAATATGATGCAGTTGCAGTCCAGAGGATGTAGTGAAAAGTCTGCTGTTTCCCAGTGCTAATTGTTCCCACAGAATAATCACACCCTTTTCTTGTAAAAATATGTTTCTGTGCATTTGGGTTCTCCTTGTTTGTATTGACAGTGAGATTTGTGCTACTGGGAACTGACCAGGGCTGGCAAAAAAAAAAAAATTTAAAATAATTTAAAATTAGTTGCTTTTCAGCCACCATATTGTTAGTCAACATACGTGCTTAATGTAAGTATATGTAACTATAAGACATAAAAGATATCTATATCTTATATAACTGTAAGACACATTTTTATAGTCAACAACACTGTTGACTATGCAACTGATTGTACTTAGAGGTTGGGAGGAGGAGATGGTTATAGTGGGGGAAGAGTGAGGCCAGCTCATGCCATCAGTGTGCAGAATTCCTGGGGGTGGGGAGGCTGCATTATGTGCCATCCATGGGATGGGGTAAGCACAGAAGTCTTGGGTCTCTACACATTGGTGGCCTGGGGCTAGAACTTGAGCACAGCCACTAGAGTCAAAAGAGACGTGATCAAAGTAGACTACATCCTTCATGAAATATTTATGAAAAGGAGAATGGTAGCTTTTATTTTAAATTAATGGTGACCCATTTCTGAATCTTACAAAACCTGATCTGGTATGCCAACCTTGGGCTGTTCTTCCTCTTTTATCCTGTGAAGAGCTGAACTGAGAGAAAGAGAAAATAAATTTGTATTGTGTCTAGATCAGAAGGTTCTGATATTTAAAAATGTTTAGGACATCCATATCATCTTCAAAGGAATTTCATCTGGAGTCTAAACAAGTGTTGTGGTTAATTAATAATAATACTAATGCTGCTGCTAATAATAATAATAATAGTAATAAAATGAGAGAGAGAGAAATAACCCAGGAGAAACAAGTGACGCACAGAAGCATTGCTCACCATCTGCTGACTGATGCCAAGCCTGTCACCAAGCAGTGGTCGGTGACTCCAGTTTGTATACTGGGCATGTCGTTCTATGGTAAGGAGTATCCCTTTGGCGTGTTTGGGTCAGCTGTCCTGGCTATGCTCCCTCCCAGCTTCTTGTGCACCTGCTCACTGTCAGAGCATGGGAAACTCAAAAGTCCATGATTTGGAATAAGCACTATTTAGCAAAAAACAAAATCATCAGTGTGTTACCAACATTATTCGCATATTAAATCAAAACCACAGCACTGTAGCAGCTACTAAGAAGAAAATTGACTCTATTCCAGCCAAAACTAGGACAGCAAGTTTTCTTAACAAAACTTAATACGGGAATATTTGAATTTATAATATCAGGAAAGTAGTGCAGGTTCTCAAAGGTCTTTAGTTCATATATGCATCATAAATAGTAGTTTTTCTTTTAGTAGTGTGATTAAACTTTCAGCATAGGTATCTACCAGTTTTAGTCAAGTTCACCTGATTCTGAGGCTTTAAAGAGTTTTTACCTTCCATCTAAGAATGCCCTATAAAAGAAATCAATTTAAGAAGTTTGTGCTTAATTGAAAAAGCAGTACTAATACCAATATGCTCTTCAAAAAACATCTAGGATTTCTCTTACCAAGGATCAGCCACCTGGCTTAATTTGCAGCCCTCCCACTTCTATGTTTGTGTAGAAAATCCTTCATCCTCTTTCCCATCCCTGAAAGAGGGATGATAGAGTTACATACAAAGGCATTGCTGTCAAAAATTTGCAAATAGACAACAAAAGAAACTGGAGTGTGTCTGACGCTGGGTTTTGTGCTTCTCTTTCCTTGCTGCTCTCATTGTGATGCCATTCAAAAGAGAATTCAGAGCTCTAGTGATTGAGATGGTGTTGGCCACTGATATGTCCTGTCACTTCCAGCAAATCAAAGCTATGAAGAATGCTTTGCAGCAGCCAGAAGGGTGAGTCATTTTACAACACAGTGCAGTGTGGGGCTGCATTTTCAGCAGGAGCTTTGCCATTCTGTTTAACTTCAGAAGCAGTTCTCCAGAGGCCCTCACTTTCTCTGATGTCCCCATCAATTTTCCTTCTGCTGTTGAATTAATAATGAATTCACTTAGGAAGGCATTGGCGCACCCCTATGCACACATCTCTACTCTGTGCTGGTGGACCAAAGCTTGGAAATGTTCACCATTGTTGAGAGAAGCCTCACTGGGCATTTTCCTGGTGGGTAACACCAAGGACATGATTCAGTTGAGTCATCTCTACAGATTAAGTATGACACAAGGTTATAAGATCTGCAGAACACAACTTACGCTTTTGCCCTTCTGCTGATGCTATCAGCTGCCAACGCTGCAAGGGGCCTGCTTCATAACCAGAGGTCAGATGAAAACAACTTGAGATCCACTGAGGGAACAACTGGAAAATAATAGATGGAGCAGTATGGGAAAGGCCTTTTCTTCTTTCTGGTATGTCACTGGGAGCTGTGATATTTTGTTTACAGCTCTTCCCCTTAAAATTCTTTCTGTACTGCACAAAGCGCTGAGTGATGGTCAATTTTTCACCCTGGACAAGGGTCTGTCCAAAGCGTCCCAGAATTATACCTGTATAAGAATTTTATACCTGTAGCAGACCAGAGTGTGACTAGCCACTTGGTCTTCTCAGAAGCTGCAACTCTTTCAACTATTTCAGATAGCCAAAAAGTGGAATTAAAAAATGAGACCACCCATCCTGAGAAAGGTTTTGGGCTAGCCTCTTAGGTTATGGTTGTAAGAAATCACCAACCTTTTTTCTGTGAAAACAGATGCCAGGGTTCGCTTCTGATCTCACACTAGTTATTTATCAGAGAAACATTTATCAGTTACTGCGTAGACTCATCAGAGCCCCTGAGATGAGATCCTGATTGTTCATTACATTATGATGGTAGGGACCAGCTTCTCTTCTGAGCTGTATAAAATGCAGCCCAGATGAAATGGGAAACACAGCAGCTCTTCAAGCCTGTTAGTGCAGACAAGCAAGCCTGGAAAGTTGTTCAACAAGGCTGATCAACATTTCATTTTGTATTTTTTAATATCTCTTTTATACCAGGAATGGTGTATGTTGGAGAAATAAGACAGTTGTTCAGAGTTGTCTGATTTTATGAGCAGATAAATCACTTTATTAATATGCTTGCCAAGGATTCTAATTACCTTATTTCCCTGAAGGTAACATTTTTGTCATTGTCCCCTGCAGGAGTAGACAATTAATTTGTTTGATCTTTTGGGTTTTCAGAATTGACAAGCCGAAAGCCTTATCACTGTTGTTACATACAGCAGATATCAGTCATCCAGCCAAGGCTTGGGATCTCCACCATCGCTGGACAATGTCTCTGCTAGAGGAGTTCTTCAGACAGGTAAAGCCAGGGCCATTCCTTCATATTTCTGCAGCTGAGAGGGAATGTGTAGGATTGGGCAAAGAAGTAGGAAAATACGAACACAGATATTTTCCTTTTCTCTGATATATGTAAGAACCTCCTAAATGGTATGAAGCTTTCTCCTCTGGCACCAGTAACACTGACCATTATGCCTTTTAGAAAGTTAATTTTCTGATACACTGCTTATAGATGTAAACATTTTCTACCGAGAAGAAATTCTAATTTGGGAAGCTAATATATCTTTTAGATTAGGAAAATATAGAATATGTGTCATTCAGCTCTAGAACCATAAAAACAAATTTGGCTAGCTGTACTTTAAAGAACTGTACTTTCATTGTTGGGGTGGATATGAAAAAGGCTTATTTTTCCCTTACTTTAGGTGAACTGATCAAGATTATAGCTCATAGTGGACCATCTGTTGACAGACCCACAAATCTAAACAAATCATTGAGCTCTGTGTGATTGTTGAAAGGTCCCCAAGTGATTAATAAAAACATTTAAAGACCTGCCTTAAAAAAAAAAGAAGGAAAGAGAGAGCTCTTAAGGAGTGCTTAGGGTGCTTTTCACTAATATGAATTAGTAACCTAAGCAGAAAATTGAGTGCTTATATTCCCTCCAGAGTTCTATAACTTCATGTTATATAGTAAATCTGAATGCAAAAAGGAAAAATATATGACAATTTTTTAAAATTATGTTTGTTTTTAAAGACACTGCAGGAATCCTTTTTTAAAAAGGACATTGCAAGAATTTGATTTGAAATGAATCTTTTTATTTGTTTTTCAAACCATGAATGGCTTTAGAGGTAGATCATACCCGCAGCTGTCTCTGTGTTGCCACACTGGAGACTCATGCAAGTAGGATGCTTTTAACATGCATTTAAGGGAAAAAATGTGCATGTTTATACTTTTCTAGCTCAAAATTATGCTAAATGTGTTAAAATACACAACTGCTGAGTCCCATAAAGACTTGTGATGAAATTAAGATTAACTAGGTGTGAGACCACAAAAAGTCCAAATTTTGATCTGTTTTACACATATAATGAAGGCAAAATTATTATTTTATATTTTTATAAGAATAATTTCATTTCAGCTGACAAATCTTACTTTACCTTTGAATGATGAATGCCTCCACTCTTAGATGAAGCTATGTATAAAACTTGTATTCTAGTTCCAAATTCAAGTGCATTAAGCTTGTCATGAAGAATGAACTTGTGTTCATTGAAGTTATTTAGTACTAGATCAATAAGTACATCCCTACCTCACAGTAGAAGAATGCTTCTCTCAAGTTGTAATGGTTAATTTTTGCAGTAGCCAGGAGGGGACATGGCTAGGACACCGAGGTTATTCTATACCATCTCATGTCATTTTCCGGGGATGGGGGTAAGGGCTATAAGGGCTTTCTTCCAGGTCAGGATAGCGTGGTGAGGGTTGGGTTGGGCTCTGCAGTGAGCATTTGCATGTGAATCGCTCGCCTGTCTCTTTTACACTTTTCTTATTAATATTATTGCTGTTACTGTTCATTTTCTTATCTCACTGCTGTTTTTATCTCAGCCCATGATCTTGACCTTCTGTGCCTCCAATTCTCCTCTCCAGCCTGCTGCAGGAAGGGATGGGAGGAGAGAGAGAGTGGCACACGATTTGGAGGTTTTTGGTGGGAACACTAAATTGGAGAATACAGTTCCTAAAGCACAACAGCCTAATTTGGCACCCAATGTGAGGCTCGAAGTTATGAGATAAAAACAGATCTGACCACAGTGGGTTGGAAGAAATTCAGTCAAAGCATTTGTTGTATTAGGTATGGAGCCACTGGTCACAATGTTGCTTGGTCTGTTCACTGGTTGTTGCTGTACTGTCTGATACCAGCTTATAATATGATAATATCAAGGACAATGAGGGTCCTTAGGGATGTGTATTCAGTGTTGCTCTCCTGTCCTTACCCCAGGCACTACCTTTGGGAGTCCATTAATAATCATACCTCATCTGTTGGGGGAACAGGGGAGGATGATTTTTCCCAGCTTTTCCATTTTCCTCCTTCAGACCGGTTACAACAGCTTTTGAGAATTTTGAATTCCCTTTGGATGTTGAGGAAAGCATATTCTTATTACTAAGTCTGCCAGGTTTCCTCAGTGCAGTCCACCACATCATGTTTAGACTCAAGAAACTAAGGAAGTTATTCAGACATCTGCCCAGGGGTGGATAATCATAAGTGGCATAGAATGTGGGAGAAAATGGGCCAGCTTTTGAGGGACCGTTCTGCTCCAATGGTTTGGAAGTTCACTGCTGAACAACTGCAGGACCCTGATTAAGTGGCAGAGTATTTGAAAGAAAACTGCTGTAGCAGCTCCAGAGAGGTGTGAACTTATGCAAGTGCTGGACCCTGGGTACTTTTTGTCGAACACTGCTCATTACTAGACAGCACCCTCAGGGAGAAGAGGAGAAAAGCAGACCAACAGGCACTGTGGTCACTCAAACTGCAGCTGAACCAGAGAAACAACCCGTGCCAGTAGCAGAAGAAGAAATCCAAGACAAAATCAGGTCACATAGTGAGGGATGAAGAGGAAGCAGGGCTCTCAGAACAAAAGGAAGAGGCGGGGCCAGAGAATAATCACTGCATCCCTATCCCTGGGTGAGCTGCAAGATATGCAAAAAGATTTGAGCCGCCAGTTGGGTGAGCCCCTGGTGACCTGGCTGCTCCGATGCTGGGATATTACAGCCCAAAATATGAAACTAGATGGTAGTGAAGCCAAGCAACTAGGATCCGTGTCCTAGGATGGGGGCATTGACAAGGGGATTGGGTAGAGGACAGAAAGTCTCAGCCTCTGGAGGCAATTCCTGTCAAGCGTAAGGGAAAGGTATTCTCTTAAGGATGATCTAGTAGTGCCCCCAAGCAGGTGGAATGCCATGAAGCAAGGTATCCAGTACCTGAGAGATGTGCTGGGGGTAATTTGTAGGGATTCAAATGACGAGCAGTTCCCTATAGATACAGACGGCATCCAGTGTACACAATCCCTGTGGCAGAAGTTTGCAAAGAGCATGCCATTGATGTGTATTGTTGGCATTTATGTCAATGAAAGTAGAACAAACGGTGCTTTAGGCGACTACCCGACTCAGGTAATATGAAAATCATCGTTTTTCCTCCTTACTGATCTGTGCTTTGGCTGTGGAAAGAGTGTCCAAGACTGCGGGCAGATTCAGAAGACTCGAGCAAACTGGAGAGGAAATGTCCCATGCACCACCAGTATGGACCAGAGTCTCTGCTGTTGGGCAAGCACCCCCTGCTCAAGAGAGAGGGCAAACACCATGAGGTAACCTGTAGTTTTTCCTGTTTGACCATGGAGAAGACATGAGGAAGTGGGACAGAAAACCCACCTCTGCCCTAGCAGCCTGGGTACATGAGTTGAAAGAAAGGACAACCACTGCAGGAAATTCTTCAAGGATAAATGCCACTCCAGTTTCCAGTGGGCAAGTCCTCAGACAGAATAGAAAGGCTGATGTTACTTCTAATCCTCTTGAAGGGACCTCCAGTTCATATTTACAAGAAGTGAGCAATTAGTACTAAGACCAGGACTAAAGGGGCCCTGCCTCCAACCAGGTGGAGGAAAGGGACTGTGTGGATCTGATGGCCTGGCACATCAGACCCACAAGAGTATATATAAGGCTTTAGCTGGCACCGGTGCACAATGTGCCCTGATGCCATCAAGATATGTAGGGGCAGAATCTATCTCTATTTCTGGGGTGGCAGAGGGATCCCAACAGCTGACTGTACTGGAAGCTGAATTGACCCTGACTGGGAAGGAATGACAGAAGCACCCCGTTGTGACTGGCCCAGAGTGCATCCTTGGCATAGATTACCTCAGGAGAGGGTATTTCAAGGACCCAAAAGGGCATCATTGGGCTTTTGGGATAGCTGCTGTGGAGACAGAGGAAATTAGACAGCTGAATACCTCGCCTGGTCTCTCAGAGGACCCTTTTGTTATGGGATTGGCTGAGGGTCGAAGAACAACAAGTGCTGCTACCACAACAATGCACTGTCAACAATACCACACAAACTGTGACTCCATGAATCCCATCCATGGGATGATTTGTGAACTAGAGAGCCAGGGAGTGGTCAGCAAGACTTGCTCACACTTTAATAGTCCTGTGGACTATTGTGGCCTGAACGAAGTCACACCACCACTGAGTGCCGCTGTGCTGTACATGCTGGAACTTCAGTACGAACTGGAGTCCAAGGCAGAAAAGTGGTGCCACCATTGACATTGCTAATACCTTTTCTCCATTCATTTAGCAGCAGAGTGCAGGCCAGAGTTTGCTTTCACCTGGGGGGGCATCCAGTACACTTCAACTGACTGCCCCAGGGGTGGGGAAACACAGCCCCACTATTTGCCATGGACTGATCCAGACTGCACTGGAAAAGGGTGAGGCTCCAGAACACTTCCAGTACATTGATGACATGATCATGTGGGGCAACATAGCAGAGGCAGTTTTTGAGAAAGGGGAGAAGATAATCCAAATCCTCCTCAAGGTAGGTTTTGCCACAAAGCAAAGTAAGGTCAAGGGACCTGCCCAGGAAATTCAGTTTTTAGTAGTAAAATGGCAAAATGGATGTTGTCAGATTCCAATGGATGTGGTCAACAAAAGAGCAGCTATATCCCCACCAACCAGCCAAAAGGAAACATGAGCTTTCCTAAGTACTGTGGGGAAGATGCATATTCCAGATTACAGTCAGATTGTGAGACCTCTGTATCAAGTGACCGAGAAGGAGAACAATTTCGAGTGGAGTCCTGAACAACAACAAGCTTTTGAACAAATTAAACAGGAGATTGTTTATGCAGTAGCCTTTGGGCCAGTCAGGACAGCACAAGATGTGAAAAATGTGGCACATGCTTTGGAGGTTTTTAGTGGGCATACTAAATCAGAGGATACCATTCCTAAACCATGAGATTGAGAACTACTACTAGCCAGAGGGGACTATGGTTGTAAGGAACTGGTCTGGTTTTGGATTAGGTATGTTCTTATGCTCTTCCTTATGCTTTTCACCTGCAGACTCTTTTCTGTCCTTTCTGTTAAGTGTCTTGCAGAGATAAAGCCTGACTTAATCTATATCAGAACAGGTGGCCAACCCTTTTGCTTTCCAACTATTTTGCAATGTGACATGTCGCAGGTCTTCCTACACTAAGTAATCATGCTGTAGGTGTGAATGATATTGAGCACTACTGCCTTTTTATATTCAGTGGCTATGAGCAAACACCTTACCTTAATTAAATTTGTTTTACTAATGCATTTTAGATAGCCATGGGTGAGCTGCCCAAACAGCTTAGAAGTCAAGTGTCTCTCTGAGCAGTCACAAAGGCAGTTTGGTGTTCCTTCCCAAGAGAATTAGCCACTGGGGTTTTTAAGAGGCCTAAGGAATAATGAAAAATCATGGCATTGAGAGATGTTTTTTCTGAGAGTTGCAGCAGACACAGTAGAGAAATGTTACTTGGAAATATTTCTGTGTTTGGTTTCTGTTTTACCCTGATATTTGTATATTACACTCCTAACATTAAGCAGTGGAAGAATACTATTGCTTGTTGTTCCATACAAAATTCTAACAGGACTTGTGCCCCATTTCATGTATGTTATATTAACAAAAGTAAGAGGAATTCAGCTCTTCTTATGCCTACAGGAGTTTTTCTCTGGTTAGTTTCCTTAATATTTTATCTTCCATTTGACATTAGTCAGAACACTGGCAAAAAGTTCAATACAGTTATAGTAAGCTGCTGATTTAAGGAACTGATTTTGCAGTATATTTAAATGGATATTAAAATTTGAATGGTCTGTGGGGAGTATTGCAGCTATGTCATCCTATACATGTCAGCATAATGCAATGTATGTAATTTGAGTTGTCCACCAGGACCCTCAGGTCCTTTTCCACAGTGCTGCTCCCGAGCTGGGTTGACCCCAGCCTGTGCTGCAGTCCTGGATTATGTTTTCCCAGGTGCAAGACCTTACATTTGTCCTTGTTGAACTTAACAAGGTTCTTGTGAGCCCACTCTTACAGCCTATTCAGGTCTACCTGCAGGGTGGCTCTATCTTCTAAAGCGTTCACTTCCCCACTCGGTTTGGTATCATTACCAAATTTCATCAGGGTACACTTGATCCCATCATCCAGATCACTTATAAAGATATTAATCATCATTGGGCCCAGTATTGATTGCCAGGGTACCCCACCAGTGACAGGTTGCCAGTTTGAAACAGAGCTATTTACCACCACCTGCTGACAGGCCCCAGCCTGTCAGCCAGTTCCACATCCACCACATGGACTACTTGTCTATACTATAATGCATCAGTGTCTTTAGGAGGAGGCAGTGGGAAACCCTGTCAAAAGCCTTGGAGAAGTCCAGGTAGAGAATGAGCACAGCTTGGCCCACAACAATCAAGCAGGTTACTTTCTTGTACAAAACTGTTGGTGTTGTCTTTGGAAAAAATCAATAATCTGCATCTGGCCAGCCATGGCCTATGAATTCTTTATCTGAAAGACTGAAATTATCCACAATTTGTGTTAAAAAAAAACAAACAAAAAATGCAAATAAAATCAAAGCTTAATTAAAGAAAGTAAAATGAGAGGCTTTTACGGTTGTGAAGTAAGATATAGAAGTGCAATGTGTCTTGTCCTTTTCTAATTTCATCTCAATTTTTTTTCTCCAGGGTGACAAAGAAGCAGAACTAGGCCTACCCTTCTCTCCCCTGTGTGATCGCAAATCTACTATGGTTGCTCAGTCTCAAATAGGTATGTCCCTTTTGGTGCATGTGAAGCAGCGTCTTAAAAGCAAAACTTACTCTTCGCTGTAGGGCTAAGATTGTAGTGATCTCTCATCATTTGGAACTATGTTAAAGAGAAGAAATGTAGTACAATAGCATTATTTTTCCCAGATTAACCATTCAAAGCTGGGGAGCCTTTACATGTATGGTAATGGTTCCATACATTCACCAAATTACCTCTGATGTGTCTGCAGAGATACCTACAGTGCCTGATCGTGACACTTATTCCATGGTTTTCTGAACAGTGAAGAATGAGTACACATGACAACATCATGTCATATGAGTGTCATTGGTGTATATGAAAATGTAATGTCAGTTCCTTTGATGACCTGTGCAAAAATGCTGTTTGTTTTTCAATTTATTCCTCCAACCCTTTTCTCCCAATACTTTAAACCAACCGTTATTTTTCACTGAAGCCATGTAAGTAGCAAATATTTGTCTGTGCCACCCTTTCAGAAAAAGAGATCTTTTTACAGACGCACCAACAGCACTTTCTCTACCTTTCCTTCAGTTACTGAATGAAAAAGTAGGGGAAGGATGAGGCAACAAGCCTGGCATTTGGTGAGAGAATAAGAGGGGCTAAGTGAAGTAAAACTGTTGAGGGGGCTTGGAGCAAAGAAAGGACAAGGGAAAAGGTGGATTTTTGGGTGGATTTTTATATCTAGGAAGCAAGTGAAGTAGATAGAGAAACATGTTCTAATCTCAACTGGAGAATAGGTAGCTTAATAGAATAACGAAAGAAAGATAACAGGGAATTGAGAAAGACAGACAAACAGAGAATGTATTAAAGGAAAGCAAACAAAATATTTGAACCATGAAATTTCTCTCAAAGAACAAGACAAAGATATTCCAGAACCTAGGAAAGTGCAGATTTGTATCTTTGGCTTAGAGCCATTTCTGTTTAAAATTATTTCATTGTTCCTGGTAGGCAAGCCATTCTCTGAGGGACATCATCCTGGATTTTTCTGGCTTTGGAAGTTTAGACGGTTCAGCTAGGAATCTGAACTTGAAAAGCCCTATACAAGCCTGGCCTGGTTACCAGACTTGTAGTATTTACTCCTCTGCAACAGTAACCCACAATACAACTGTGGGTTGTTCTGCCAGCAGCTCAGTGGAGGAGAGCAGCAACAAACTTGAAATGCTGCAGTCTCAGCTAAAACTCATGTTGAAGACTCCTGGGCACATTACGTCTATTGCTGTGCTGTGGGAGAAGATAAACTCTCTCTCTCTCTGGTTGATGTGAAGGAAAGTGCATGTAAAGACTTCTCTTTCACATTCCTTTTATCAGCTTTCAGATATGTTCCTCACTCCTTACAGGGAAGAGGAGTTGTGCCTCTCACAGGGTCTCTCTACATACGGTTGTGTGTGCTTGGATACTAGTTTTTCTGGTTCTCTCCTTTTGTGCTCCTTTGCTCAGGAGGACAAGGAGAGCCCTGATGCCTCTTGTGTCAAACCACTGAAAAATTAATGTTGAATTAAACCATCACCAATACAATTCCACCTTATACAAGAGGCACTTATCAGTAGGCAAAGGCAGCCTTATTTAGTCATATACTATTTGCCATTATATTTGATTTGTGCAGTTTACTAATTCATTGACATTAGTAGTCTACTCTTTATAAATCTTGCCTTCTAACATTATAAAATGCTCATTTCTCAGTCTGCTGCACATATTGACAGTGTCTTTCTCTAACATCCCCCTTGTTAAATTGAAACCTCCTATGTTTTCTAGCTATCCACTGAGATAAGACTTTCAAAGTTGTAGAGTAGATTCTTTTTCCATTCGTTTCTTTGCCTGATTAGTAGTCTTAACAATTTTTTCCCTGTAGTAGTACTTAGAACATTCATTTGCAAAAGTAAATTCTTACTGAATTCCAAATTGTGCTATTATATGATAGGATTTTACGATCTTAAAGGTCCTTTTCAAACTTAGTGATTCTGTGATTCTATGATTTTGTCATCTGCACCAAGCAGCCATCAGTTCTCATAAATTAAAGACCTCTGTCCTTTGTGAAATAAAATTGTGATTTTAGTTCTGTCAAAAACAGAGCCTAGAAATCCTGCTCTAATGGCTTGACTTGTTTGTACTTACTGGTTTGCTTCTGTAAGGTCACTGTAAATGCAACAACAGTGGACACACGTTTTCATTATCAAAAATTTTCACGAAAGATTTTGGCAATATGGCCTTTTTACATGAAATTAAGGAATCTAGCAGAAAAAAATTCCTCAAAAGAAAGAATGTGTCCCTCATGTTGCTTCAGTTTATGAAAACTTGTTCAGAGTTTAAACTGATAAATAAAAAACCTGAATATCACTTAATGAACTTTATTTTGAAAACCTTATCATTAATGTTAATGGTAATGACCAATTTATCATCCTTTTTCTTATTCAGTAGGAGTATGGCTAATATTTTTGTACCATAGTGAAGATGGGAGAGATTTGTGTCCAGAAGTCAAGCTGCTTATCAGAGCGAGGGAGAGAAACAAACTGCAAAGAGAACCAGACCAAGACTTTCGTATTTCCCAACAAGAATATCAGGAGTTTCTCTGGCTTAAACTCTAGGAAGCTTGTTTCACTGAAGATCAGCCTTTGTTGTCATTATCCTCTTTTGCAGCTGATAAATGTAGCAGCATGCCTTTATTTTTGTCCTTTGATTAGCAAAAAAGAAAATTACACCTTCAGAAAAGAGGTGAGTGCATGCTGCAGATTTTTTTTTTTTAATGTTGGGCTTTAGGGAAACTGTTCTCTACCCAGTTTTTATTATGTCGATGTTTGCAGGTGGAATGAATGAACACTAGTCATATGCTGGAATTCACCCTCAGTATGCAGCATTAATTGGTAAAATCATTTTAGTCACTAAGGTACAGAAATGTTTATCATGCTCATTCTATTGAAGGAGATAAAGGATGATAAAATGGTCATTAGCATTAATAGGTTTAAAGCTCAGGTTCATTATTTGATAGTCAGGGCTTTAATTAGCAAACTAAATCAGCATATTTAAATTTTATTATAATCCCCATTTTAAGATAACATAGTTGAAAAACTTATTCATGTTGTAAGAAATAGAGAAAAAAATTTCACTTATCAAAGAAAAGTTCTCCTAGGTATTTGAGTTTGTTTACCTGTAGTCCCTTATGCCACCTCTGCTCATCTTTGTTGATGAGATGCAAAACTTCTTGCAGGGGAAACATGTTTCTTAAACACAACTAGATTGTGTTTGTGTGCAGTTGTTGACTATCTCAGGAAACAAATCCCAACACCTTGCTGCTGAAGTTAGTGATGTAGTCGTGTGTGGTATCAGAGATTTGAATGTCTTAGGGTTGTTAGTGGTGATGGAGCAAATGGCAGTGGTATTACTTGCAGAGCAGAATGACAAGGTACCATGGCTTGGGTTTCTTTGGTCACTAAGAGGTAAATAAGTTTTTGAAGGGGAATAGAGATGTATAGAGACAGACACACAAATATATGTAAATCAAGTTCTTACTATCCTTAGGATTTCTGTGGCACACTTAACACTGTTCTCAGTCAGTAAAATTTCCAGTGCTTTAAAAAATTGTATAAAGCTTGCTGGGATTATCTGAGTTGTCATCTAGCATTCAGGCTTTATGCTGCATACATTTTTGATTAACTACCTGGGAGTTCTTTTTTTCCTAAATTTGAATAGATAAGACTGACTCAGTGTTATGGAGGCACAGGATTCAGATTTTTGGATATGACTGAATGTGTATTTTCTCCAGATTTACAGAATGTTACTTGAAAGTAACATTTTTAATTTGACCAGGCATGAAAATACACTTAATAATCCATTCTTTTAGAAATTTAGGAAAAATCAGGGAAGGGAAATGGAACTAGAAGGATGCTCATCTGCTTTGCACTCAGGATGTGGATCACGGCATCTGTGAATTCAGGTGCCTGTACGATGTGGTCTCTTCTTCTTTTGTTGTTCTGTTATCACCTAGAATCACCAGTGCTGTAGAAACATATAATGATCGAGTCAGAGAAACTACAATATTATTAAGGAATAATTAATACTTGGTAATTAACAAATCTCTGAAAATTGTAACAGTAGGGATTTGTAACAGTAATAATGTTACCAAAAAACATCTGGCAACAGTAATTGTAACCTGGATCCCATGTGCCTTATGAGAGATTAAGGACATCATTGTTTTCTTGCCTACCTGCAACACTAAGAAATTTGCTAACTGAAGTGGTAAAGGAATTTAGGAAAATGTGTAAGATACTGTAAGCTCCTCACTCTCACATTTTGTCCATGCAACTTGGATTTTCATCCACCTCATGAGCTTATGGCCACAGGGCCCTTCAGTCTGCTCTCTCAACATTCAGATCAGAGCCATATTCATCTCTGTCAAGCTGTCCTATGAGGAGAGGCTGAGGGAGCTCGGGCTGTTCAGCTTGGAGAAGAGGAGGCTCAGGGGAGACCTCATCACTCTCTACAACTACCTGAAAGGAGATTGTAGCCAGGTGGGGGTTGGTCTCTTTTCCCAGGCAAGTATCAGCAAGACAAGAGGACATGGTCTTAAGTTGTGCCAAGGGAGGTTTAGGTTAGATATTAGAAAGAATTTCTTTACAGAGAAGGTAATCAGACATTGGAATGGGCTGCCCAGGGAAGTAGTGGATTCTCCGTTGCTGGAGGTTTTTCAGATGAGACTGGATGTGGCACTTAGCACCATGGTCTAGTAACCGCAGCGGTAGTGGATCAAGAGTTGGACTTGATGATCTCGGAGGTCCCTTCCAACCCAGCTGATTCTATGATTCTATGATGAAGTAGAAATTATTTGGCCCCTTATTTTTTTCCTTTACTTATGTTAAAAAATGTGGAGAAAGCATCTAAATCTGTTTTATTATCAACAAGAAAAAGCTGGCCAAGCACTGAGGAGAGAGTATTCACAGCAATGTGAATGCCGATGCGCAGTAAAGGACGTTTGTGTGTAACTCCACACCAGCAGAACTTACTAGTATTATTACTGTTATATTTATTTTCTGCTTTTAAAGAATTCTTATTTGAAACTGGATTTTATCCAAATCTGCTAAAAATTTAACTTCAATATCACACTACTCCTCATATAAAACAAGTCTTGATGAATCTTTTGATGTTGTGATTTGCCAGTATTTAAGTAGGTATCTTTTATTGCATGCTGTATCCAGGCTCTTGGGCCAGGGTTTAATATATAACTTAATTTCCTCTTTTTATTATTTGCCTATCTCTCTTTCAAGTATAATTTTTTTACACTGTCATCTACAGTGTGGTTGTCTGTATTCACTGAAGCAGGGACTCTGCATAAATCCTCCTCTTGCCTGCCTGGCTCTCCTTGTGTTTCTGCTCAGGTTTCATTGATTTCATTGTGGAACCCACTTTTACTGTGCTGACGGACATGACAGAGAAGATTGTGACTCCACTCATCAATGAAGCTTCCCACTCTGGCATGTCTGGATTCAGGCGCTCCAGGTGAATAACCTTTCACCTTCCCCTTCACTCTGCACATGCTGCTATTGCACTCAACTCCTCCGTTTTCCTCCCCTACAGTATGTTTTCCATGTGGCTTAAAGACCCATATCTGCATTGCCAACACTACAGCTCACCTTGTGAGATAGCTTTGTGCCCGGGGGAGGGCAAAGAGGGAGGGTGACATGAACCTGAGTCATGGCCCCAAAGGCAGTGAGCACACATGGTTGTAGCCATGCAATCAGGTGCACTTCAGTGCTCTCTCAGTCACTAATGTCAGAGAGAAGGTAAATAGAGTCATTGGGAGGCCCTCATTTCTTCACATCTAGAAGTATAAATGGGATTGAAACAAAAATGATGACTGGAAAGTATAAGCACACTCTTGTGACAGTATTGTTATGCAAATGTGTGAAGAACTACCAGAATTCACCTGGAGTTCAGGTGTAGGAAGTCTTGGCCCATTCAAACTGTATTATAGAGATACTGCTCTTTTAGTAGTTTATTGGCAAGGCATTTTTTGGGATTCAAATGCCTCATGGCTAGTGCTCCCTAAAGTAGGGCTACCCTCAGGGTTCCCTCTCCCAGGTGACTTCTTTACTCTTGGGTGAACAAAGAGCAAACACTTATATCTTTCTTTGTTGGTAACCTTGTTGCCTTTATTAAAATGTGCACAATGAAGCATCCATCCTTGAAAGACAACTGTAGGATCTGTAACCGAAACGAGTGCCTGATTTCAGCCTCATCTGAGGACACCAAGTCCTGGACAGAGGTGGATTTCCTGTCCTGTGCCTTAGTGAATTTTAGGAGACTCCTCCTCTGACTTATTTTATTTCTAGAATTGTCTGACCCTCCAATAATATTTAGGGAGTGGAGATGTACAACGAAAGTAGTGACAGCACTTTGACTGATTCTATTTCTTAGTGACCATGGATACCAAAAAATAGTCAAGAGAAAAGCTGCCTTTTATTTCTAGCAATGGCTTGGTTGTGCTCTTTGCTTTAACATTGATTGGCCTGGGGTGGGACAGGAGAGAAGGGAAGGATAAGGGATTCAAGCTTAATTTTTCCTGGGTGACTCTGTTATCTGACTTACAGCTGTTATTTCTTCATAGTTGTATTTGAGTGTACAGGATACTGATTTCTTCTGTGTTTTGTGATATTGTGCCCCAGCCTAAATAACATTAGTCCCTCCGAAGTTAAAAGATCAAGTGTCAAGAGCACTGGGTCCGAAGGAAGTGCCTCACTTAACTGCTCCATACTCACTGTGGACTTCAAATGTTTTAAAGCCACCTGGACTGAGGTGGTGCAGCAGAACAGGGAGAAATGGAAAGCGCAAGCCACCAAAGGTAACAGCCAAGCTTCTTAGCAAAAGAATAAAAATTCTTTTGACCTCTTCTTCTTCAAGCTCTTCTTCAATCAGATTATTCTCCAAGTAAGCACTGTTAGTTTGAGAGAATCTGCTTTTTGAGTTCAACAACCCACACTGAATTCAGAAGGATAGGACTATTGTGACTCATCTGTGCCTTATACTTGCCTTATATGCTCTTCTTCAGAGTACCTTATGCTCTTCTTAAGGGTGTCTTATGCACTTCTTAAGAGTACCTTATATTTCTTATCTTCTTATGAAGAGGATGTGGACAATGGGAGGGAAAAAAGTTGTGAGGGAGTTCCCCTAAAGCCATGAATCAGACTCAGGGTGGTGCAAAAATAGCTGGAACAGTATTTTAGATATAGGTTATCAGTAGTTCATTGTTAAGGTTGAAAGAGGCATGGATAGTATTTCAGGGGAGAAGGACAGAATATTCTGAATTCATAACTGGTTTCATATTTCTGGTGATAACTTGGAAAATTAATTGGAAGCTATACTGCAAATGCTTGTGATGTCATCAATCTGGGAGGGACTGTAAATATTTCAGAAGAATATGAGGGTTGTGTTGGTTAAACGTTGACCAGGGTTCAATACTCTGATGCAATTGAAAAAAAATCACAGCCAACATCCCCCCATCACCGAAAAAAACCCAAACCCGACCCAACCCAAACACACACACTAAAAAAAAAACCCCAACACACTTTGATGAGACTCCTCTGGCATTCTTCTCATCTTTCCAGCAGTAACAAGGCCCTCAAAGCCCTGCTGTGCCTAGTTTTGACCACTGCTGTTCAGGAAACATATGGACCAATTGTAGACAATGCAGAGTACAGCAATGCAAATTATGATAACTTGTCTGAGAAGGTGTATAGCTGAAAGCATTTTTTTGAAGACTACTTCAGCTGAAAAATAAGGGAACTATTTTTTTATTCAAATACCCTGGGCTGTTAAGAGGAGAAAAAAATTGTCAGGTTATTATAAATGTTATTATAATGTCTAATAAGTTAGACATTAGCAAATCTCTATTATTGGAGTTCTTTTGGAAATAATGAGAGTCATCTTTTGAGAATGATTTAGTTATAACTGCCCCTTACCTCCAGGGGCTGGTTGATTGTCCAAGGTCTCCTTGACCCCTCAGGTGATTTTGGAACCAAAAAAGGAGGAATGTTTAAACTGTGGGTTTTTTTCTTTACGAAGCTGGGATGCAATTTCTTCTGTGATCTGAATGGTTATTACTCAAACCCTGTTTTAATGGAGTTGTTTTATTTCATGTAGATGGAAACAGTTTGATTTTAATGTTTCTAGGTGTGTTTAGCGGTACAAATATACATATTTTTTTAATTCTGGAAGAGTTATACAAACATATGGCTCAGCATACCTTTCTATGTTCTTGGACTCCAGAGCAATTTCATCAATGTCTTTGCTCAGCTGCTGTCTTGCTCCTGACTTGCAGCAATTTTCTGCACTCTGGCCCATCTGCCTTGGCCTTAGTCTTATGCAGCAAGGCCTGCCACTCAGCAGGGACTGAAATTGCCGACCCTTGCCAAACCATTGTCAAGATGCACTGCCAATAAAAACAGTTACTACTAAGAGAATACAACATTACCTGTTAGTTGACAGCAAATAGCAGTTGGGGATCAGAAGGGAAGGAATCTATTATTGTTACTTTTGTAGCTAATATTATTATTAAATTATTTGTACAATACTCTATTCCCGTTGGTAATGGCATTGTTCCTAGAAGCCTCAGTGAGCAGTTTTTATCCTAAGTGTGGTATTTATAGAAAATTTCTCATAGTGTGTAGGCAAAATAAGTGGGCTTATTACTGATCTTTTTCTACTTAAAAGATCATCATTAAATAGATACAAATAGCTATTTAAATTTAATCATCATTGAATAGCTACAAAACAAACACCTTGAGGTGCAAAGCACCATTTAGATAAAGTATTTTCTTACCCTGCTTTTGACAAGAGGCACTCATCCAATGGTATTGTAGTCTCCTGAGACAAATTTCTCTCCTGCGGCTCAGGTGCAAAATGCAGCTTTTTTCAGATCTTCAAATGAGAGGAATCCTTCTGTATGCAATGGGACTCTGAGATTAGCTCAGTTGGTTAGAGCATGGTGCTAATAACACCAGGGTCATGGGTTTGATCCCTGTACAGCACATTCACTGAAGAGTTGGACTTGATGATCCTTGTGGGTCCCTTCCAACTCAGAATATTCTGTGAAATCTATGAGACTCCAGAAAAAATATCAATATGTATAGCTTAGCTAGCACAGATTTCAGGAATGATTAGTGGAGTGAGGGAGACTAATTGAATTATGGTTTTGTGTGAACCATAATTTATTAATTTAAAAATTAGTTTACTTTATGTAGCTGCTGACAAGGAAATGGACATTGGCATTTCTTATAAGGACAGCTTTCCACTTTTGTACCCCATTGGTACATTTTTCTTAAAACTGGTTCTGATTGACTCATAAGAAGTATTTGACAATGTAATTTTTACATACCGGCCAAGATCCTACTCCTGTGAGGAACAAAACATCTTCCTTATACATGTCAAGAATACTTCCCTAGGACTGAGGTAGACTTCACTCAGCGTTTTATAGGATCTGCTCCTCTGTCAGCTTATATAGTCTCTCAGAAAACAAGAGATACATCTGTGGATTCTTATCACGATTAAAATCACTGCTTGATGGGGTCATAAGGAGTAGGCTTGAATATTGTCAACCCAATAATAGGTTGGTTACATCTCTGTGCTAGACTCAGTATGGATACGCTTATGATCTGAAGCTGCATAAGCTCACAGGTTCCAAATTGAGTGTGTGCTGAGCTACTCAGCTGCTTTTGCAGATTAAGTCTCTATTGGTCATGCAAAAGGGGAAGAAAAGTATGGAGTCTCTGCCCAGAGTTTGTGCACACCCAGTCAGGTTTATTAGTTTGAGGGACTGTGGTTGTGTTCTGCTTTTCAGTGGGATGCAGGAAGCCACACAAAGCCCTTGCAGCTGAGTCTGTTGGGGAGTGCTGTACCTGACCTGAGCTAGAAATGTAGTGGTCTCTATACCTGGAGCAAAAGTAATTTGCAACCTGTCTTACAAGTAAGTGTTACATAAGTACCTAATGTTTGGATGAGAACAAGAATAGTATCTCGAATGGAGGAAAACGGCTTCTTTGTGAATTTTTTTTTAAATCGAATGACATTATTTTGAGATCCTGCTGTTGTTCAACACTCACTTTTGAATTTATACCTTTGTATAGTTGTGATTGACTGTAAAACTTCTGGGGATGGCATGGCAAGCACTGGTAGCAATATATTAGTTTGCCGGGAAAGGATGGAGCCATAAAGAAAGGATAACTCTAAGTGGAAGGGAAGAGATAAAGAAGCTGGCATTGGAAGCAACCTGGAACAAGAGGGAGAAAAAGTAGATATCAAAGAACCAAGACTTTATGTGCTTAGAGTTACCTGGTACAATGTGAAACTAAATGCTGTTTGACTCCTGTGTGTCAAAAATGAAAATAGCTTTGGCACCCCTAGAGCCTTCACTAGCTAATATCTCTCTTTGCCTTTTAAGAATTTTGTGGAACCACTTTTTCAAAGGTGAACTTTATATGGTAAATAAAGGACACGCACATAATAAACACTTAGGCCAGCCTGGGATATTATTTTCAGGATACTTTGTTAAATGTTCTCGTGTGCTCTTTTTCTGTTGTCATTTCCTACATTTTTTTAAGTAAAAGCTGTTTGCATGTGAAATACTGAAGTAGATTTAGATGTCAGTTGTCAAATTGACTGATAGTTGTGATTTCTTTCCTTGTTTTGCTTATCTCTTTGCTGAAGATGCGGAAGAAAAAGCTAAGAAAGAAGCAGAGGAAAATGCCTATCAGGGAACAGATGAAAAGGAAAGCGAAAAGGACGAGAAGCCAGCCGAAGATGCCACAGCAACAAATACAGAGAACAGCAAAGAACCAAATCCTGGGGAAGGCAAAAGCACAGATTCCAGTAAAAACTCTGTGAATGACACTCAGCAAAGGGACATGAACAAACACAAAGCCTCTCAAGGGAAAAACATACCTAGGACAGATAAGGGAACAGACTCTCATCACACAGTGGGAGAAGAGAAACAGCGTGTCCAGAATGGTGAGTTCTCTCCTTCCACTGAAACATAAATCCAGCCCTAAAACCAGTATCTCACCTTAGTGATGGGGGAACATGATATCCTGAAAAAGGATGTTCTGGGGCCAGAATCTCTTCCTATGTGTAGGCATAGTCACCTGCATATGGAAATCAGAAACTGTATGTTAACTTCTGAATAGCGTTTTTCCGTAGAAGATGGGGTTCATCATATCTGTCTGGGCACTTTTAGAGGAAAGGAAAAAATATTTATCTCATGGAAATGAAGCAGCCTGTTATAATACAGAGTTTCGAAAGCTGAAACAAATAGTCTTGTTTCAATGAACATCATTGCTTGGGAGGAGAAGAGAACAGAGGAGAATCCAAAGTTGGCTTATAAACTCATTTTAAAGCCAATTAAAGGCATCTTTGATTTGAGTCTCAGATATAAATATGTTTTCAGGCAGAAGATTTTTCCCCTCTCTTTTTTTAGGATTTGTTTTATCTATCCTTCTTTTGCTCAGTTTTCTTTTAATAAGGATAGTCACAAGCATTCATTTTTTGGGGGAGTGGGTTTGACAGAAATTTTATTCCAGTGTTTTTAACTTGCTGTAGAACTGAGTTAAAATAAGAATCTCATTCTGCACCCAAAAAAGGTGAAAAAATGTTTGAAAATTCCATTAAACATTAAAAAAAATTATTATACCCATGAGAACAGATCAGTTGTCTCTACATTGTTTCACTGTTATTCCCTGGATGGCTTCTGCCCCCTGAAGCTGATATCAAAAATTGGCAGTACAGGCGCATTGACTGGTCACAAACTTGGCTAGTATCAGGCAGTGCAAAACTAGCAAAAAAGACACTTAGAAGCTTTGTCTTAGAAAAAGACTGAGTGAGCATATAGGCTTTGAAAGTCCCAGGTTCAAGCAGTGAGTTTAGATGGCAGGAGATGCAGAAATTCTGTTTAAAGCATTTCTGATATTATTTTCATGGTTGCTTGCCTTTCGCATTAATTCCTTCATCACTAGGGTTTTTCTAGATTGGAGGGACTGTGGGAATCAGAGCTGTCATGCTCTTTATGATTTTTCTTCAGTATTACATGGGTGAATAGGAATGGGCCCCCCAGGAAATCAAAAATGTTAGGGATATATGAAATCCCAGTTGGACTGCATCAAACATTTATTTTGAAATCCTTTGTTTTACGTGCTTCTAATAGTATGGGGATTAAGTGTTCTCTAGTGATTTTGATAGTACCTTTTTCTTCAATGCTTCTTGGATGCAGGTGTCAAAAGTGCTTTGAAAGGAATTATAGTGATTTCTGAAAATTAGCATCTTCCTCAGGAAAAGAAATTCTGCTCCTTAATTTATGGGATTATGTACCTGTAGGAGGTATGATCACTGCAGAGTCTTTGGAGACTGATGAGATCTTAACATTCGTATCTCTGGATTCAGCACAGCTTCCCTTATGTTAATATCTCATCATAATGTGTTTACCTCATTATTTCTCTGCTTCTTTAATCCCTTTCAGAAAGATCATTATGATCATCATTCTGCTCTGCTGCTGGCACTATGGCAGGGTAGATATTACAATACTCAAAAGTCTCCTATTCATAATATTCAATGAAAGTTCAGAAATTGTGTCAGGTGAGTTTAAAGTCTCTCTGTCATTCACTGCCTGTGTGCTTTCTCTGAGAGACTGAACTGTGAAATAATGTGTGTGTAGATGTTCAGCATCTTTTCCTGCACACAGTTAGCATCAAGCAACTTCTTTATGCAATGGTTAGAAACCATTATTATCTCATCATTACCATCATCTGTATGATGGTGGAGGAAATGCAAGAAGACTTTTGTGCTTTGCTGGGTACATTTTTGTTTCATGTCCTGAAGAGAGTATCCTTCTTTTTTTTTTTAAGGCCACCCTTATCAAACAGACACCTAAACCCTGTTTGGATCTGCTCATACCTCTCTGTTCAAGTACCCCAAGTCAGTGTCAGTGTGATCAGCTGAGGAGGGTGCTGCTTGTCCTGTATCATCTTGCTTTCATTTTTCTCTCACACATACAGTGAGTTTAGGAAGAAAAACCTGAAAAGTTTTGAATAAAAGCTGAACAGAACATGCTTTTTTCCCATCTTGTTAAATATTTTAAGATTTGGAAACCATTCCTCTTTTCTACTATGATGGATCTTAATTGTCATTGATCCACTGCCATCCAAGAATAACAAACATGTCAGTGGTTAGGGCACATTGTGGAAGAGGGAGACCATGCTTCTTTTCAATTTTTCTTTTTTTTGGAGCTGTTCCAAAAATAAATATCCACTGCCCATGAGTATTTTGAAGGCAGATCAGATCCTCTTTAACATGTAATACCTTTAATCTTGATCCAAAGACTGGGAGGTACCAAAACAGGAATAGAAATGGAATAAGCATCACTTTAATACAGCCCTGTAGCATACCTCATGTTTACAAAATTCTGAAGCGAGACTTCTACAGCTTTTTGTGTTAAAGTGTGTGTTACAAATTCACAGCCATTACTCCATGAGGAAAGGACAAACTGCCTGCTCCCATCTGGGCAGACTGGTGTATTTCACTGGGTATCTGAAGGAAGGACACCTTCTTTGCTACTGTTTGGACACTGCAACTGAAATAGCTTTGTTCTGCTGCAGCTCTCCCTTTAAGTTATTTTTTATTTGATCTTGCATTCAGCATTCACATTCAATGAAGGGATGGTCTAGGAAAGTCTGATGTGCTCTGCTGTATGACTAATAGAGGACAGAAAATGAGAATGACTGGTTAACTTTCCTGGCTTCATAAAATACCCCCCAGCTCAAGCTGCCATTTTAATTCTGTATCAACCATTGCTCTGTCAAAGGCCTTGATTTTCTGGTTTGCTACAGAGACTCTAAAGGCAGTTATCAATGCTAGGATGATTGTTCCCTGATACAGTCATCAAAGGACCAACCCAAATGAATCTGTGGATAGCGCGATCTGGTAAGAGAAAGCAAGACAAAATTATATAGGCCTGTTTAGGATATCTAAGGTGGTTCTTTAAAACAGAAACTTATGATGAAGTCTTGCAGGGTCTTAATCCCTTAAAAGCATAAATGTTTCAGAGTCCTGATTTTGAAATTAAATTTATACTCAGGTTTTTAGTGGCTTGCATACAATCAGAGGGATTAAGAGTTTGAATGTGCACTTTAAATGGTTTTATAATTAGAATACATTTAAAAGTAGATTGTAAAGCTTGCTTTTCTGTAGGAGATGGAAATTTTTTTGGTGCTTTATTCCTTTTGAATTCAGAGTTTTCCTCCTAAGGAACGTCTCCTTTGGATGTTCCCATTTGATTGAGTTATAGGCATTAATAAACTGCAGTCTGCATTAAAATCCTTATAGTGTTTCTTATTGCTTCTCTCTAGGTGAATTAAACGAAGACAATAAGTTAGACAAAAGAGATAAGTCCAGTGTGGGGGATGAATTAAAGAAAACAGATGGTAAGGACAACATTTTATTGCATTTTGTCACCCATTTTTATATGCAATCTTTTGGTTCCTAAATATCTGTAGTTTATTCTAAAACAAAAAAAAAGTGTGGTAACCAGAAACAGACTTAAGAGAAACAGTCATTAGATTTGAAAAAAAGCCATTAGGGCATCCTGAGGGAAAATCATTCCTTTCACGTAATGCCTAGCACCATTTAGTTGAGCTGGTAAGCCTTATCCACCAATTTTTGTGCAGTGCCTGAAAGAAAAATCCTGGATTATTAGAGTTGCATAGTAGGAAATGCGGATTTGTGAGATTCTATCCTTCTGACTTTCTTTGGGCTGTATTCTGCTGTCTGTAAGGACAGGCTGCATTGGAGATGAAGAAAACAGAGCTAAGAAAAATACTGTACAAGATGTCCCTGTTTTACATGATCACGTTATACTACACCAATACAAACACAAAGCTTTCTTGACTAGTTGTCTGAAGGGGAATTTGCCCAGTGTTGTCAAACCAGTGGTGTGAGAAGCAAGCAGCAGTGAACACATCAGCGTAGAGGTCCTCTATTGAAAAGGGAATTGATGAAACATGGTTGAACTGAAGCAATCCCAAGCCATAGGATGACTTCATGGTCATCTGGGAATAATTTCAAATGAGTCTGAGCCTAGTGTAGAGATTCACAGACATTTTTAGCAGCCTCAGCAAACTGGAAAAATAACTCTAAATTCTGTGGTGTGTTTACTCTTAGTTTACTCTTATGCACTTCCTCACGTGTGTACCACAGGGCTCTGAGATAGTATCTGAATCCACATTGCTTAAGGCAATTGCTGAAGTATTAGGTAGCAAACTAAATGGAAACAAGTTTTCCAGCATTTTCTGTGTATGTCTCAGTGAAATTCACTGAAACATAGCTATTCCTAAATATACAGTGCTTTGCTTTGATGGTCAAGAAAGACAACTTCATTGTAAGTACTGCAGTTTAGTATGATACCATGTTTTCTTTTATTTCTTCTTTTTAAGAAAGTATTTAAATTCCTATTGCTCTAGCAAATGTGGCAAATAAGAAGAAAATATTTTACCTCAATTAAAAATGTAGAACATTTCATCTAGAAGCATGTAATAATTTCAGACATAAATATATACTTTTTCTTAAGAGGCTCCTTAGTAGCAATTGTTTAGAAGAATTCAGTTATTTTGGTAAGAGGTCACATTACTTACATAGTTGTGTTATATGTCTGTCAGGAAAACAGTCTTGAACAAATACCATTTACAGCTTTTACTGCAGTCATGCAGAAATTAAGCACAAATACTCAAATAACATGTTATTCTTCAGATGTTCATGAGTATGTGCAGCTCTGTATGTAACTATCAAGACCCCAGAAGGATTAATGGGCAGAATGACTGTTCTCCCTGCTCCAGTTGGTGATGGCTGAGCAACAGCTGTGCTGGAAGGCTGCAACCCTTGCAGGACCATGTGGATGCAGAAACACTGTGGCGTTTTAAAGAGTATTCAGGAGCACCAGCCCAGCCAAGAAAGTAGACCCGTGAATCCCTAGCTTTGAGGACAAGGTTACATTTGAAGGTCTTAGAAAGATTAGGGGCACCTATTTAGTTAGGCTGGAGGACCAAGAAGTGAATATTTCATGCAGACTTGAAGATAGAGGGTGTGAATTTGGTTGCTTGCAAGTTGCTCATATTTGTTTGAGTTATTTATACTTGTTATTTGTTATTTTTTCTCCTGTAAGAGGAAGTTCTGCTCCTCTCCTTAGGGAAAAGACTAATACCATGGGGCCAGTTGAATACAGTGAATAAGCAACTGTAAGTCCATTAGAAGGACAACTTGTAAGCTGAATGGTTTTCATTCAGACACCGTAGAGACAGGTTATAGATAATGATCTCATTGATAAAAATCAGGAGAAAAATTGTGAATTATGCACCTAAGAAAATAAAGCACGTGGCACTTCTGTTTTGCCAAATACTGCACAACCTGTTCTGTCCATTGCTCACTCCAGAGCAAATCTCCTTACCAGCATATGGAAAAAGGAACATGATCCATGGGTAATACATAGCTGTTTACAAGCTACTGAAACGTTCACGCGAAATTATGTTTTCTCTGGTGCCAGTGCATGGTCTTTCACATGCAATATGCTGGGAAAAAAGATGGAGCGGGGGAGTTAAAGAGATTGAGGTTATGGCTATAATGCAGTCACTACATCTAGTTTGCTGGTGAGTGAAACTCAACCTGGACTTTTTTCAGGGTCAAGGGTACTTGGATTTTACAACCTCTGTCTGTTCTTGGGTTTTCCAACCTTTATTCAGTATGTAGCGCAGGGAGTATTTGTATTAAACAGGTGCCTGTGTGTGTAGATTTACCATGAGGGCTTAAGCTTTCTCACCACTACCCATTAGCATCAGCTGAAGCCCTGAATTCAATCGACGTCAGTCTGCTACCCTGTCCTGTGGTGCAGGCATCCTGCATCCAGAGAAGAAAGTTCAGAATGTATTTTGAATAAATCTTTGTAGGATCTGTATCCAAGTTGCTTTTTTAATTATATACAAAGGAAGTCATTGTAGTATCTTCTTATAGGAATACATACATGCCAAAGTGATTCTAATATGTTTGTCCTTCTACTACATGAGGAACCTAGTGACCAGGGACACATAATAAAATCTGTCTCATATTGACACAAAGATGTTGAAACTGCACATCTACACTGTAGTCACAGGTGTGAAATGTAGCTTCTGTGTCAATTACCTTGAAGCTACCCAAAAATACTTCCAGTGCCTCCAGGAACAGCAATCAAGCTTGATGAGACAGCGACGAACTGTGAGTCTAGCCAGAGCTTTGTACAACTGAGTCTACCCATACCAAAGCCAACTATATTAAACCTGGCTTGAGAATGGCTATGTAAGCTGCATGCCTTGGATTTCAGACTTAACTGCTTCAAAATCCTGTGCAAGTCTCTTGAACATAGGTTAGTCTCTGCATGTTAATCTGATCTTCATAGTATTGCCCTTTTTTTCTGTTCCAAGAAAAGAAATGTGGGGCTGCCATTTCCCACATAAAGACACAGCCCTATCAGAGACATCATCAGCACAAGTAGTTCCTGTGGGATAGAACACTTTTAAACCATTTTGGAAAACTTAATTTTCCCATATGAAACTGTAAGAAGTCACATGGACATGATTTTTACCTACAAGCCAACCTTTCTTTTTTTGCAATTTCTTTTTTTTTCTCATGAAACTAACAACAAATGAGAAAATTATTCTTCCCCACTTCAGACTGGATATAAGAAAGAAAATTTTACAGTGATGGTAGGCAAACAGTGGAACATTTTGTTCAGTGAGGTGGTAGATACTACATCCCTGGACACTTTCAAGGCCAGGTTGAATGGGGCTCTGAGCAACCTGACCTAGTTGAAGATGTCCCTGCTTATTGCAGGGGAGTTTTACTAGATGACCTTTAAAGGTCCCTTCCAACTCAAACTATTCTGATTGCATGATTCTATAATTACCGCTTCCACAGAGTATTTCTACCACCTCCTCATTTTTTTTTTCTCACTGGGAAGAGATTCTGCAATGTTTATGCAAAGGTTTCAGTGTAACTCTTCATTCCAGGGACCAAAATGCAGTTTATTCAATCAAATATACTCTCTCAGCTACAAATTGTAGACAAATAAAAGGTTCCCTTTTTGTGTGTTTGTCCTGGCAACTTATTATTTCAGTGGTAACATGCACGTTTTAGCACAGAAATATACAGGATATTTACGTGTTCAACAGCTGCTGCATACGGTGAAAGCCTGTGCCCGGGGTATGTGTGATGAGCAATGCTCCCACCTCGTGGTCAAATCGAAATCCTGCGTTTTGACAGGTCTCTGTTTCAATACTACATTCTTCTATGCAGTGCAACACAATAGAATATAGTATAGTCACTATAAAATAATGTAATATAATACAATATGCAGCCTTTTAAATATGTGGACTATATTACAGACTTACCAGAAATTGAGGTTTTAGCTTGCTTTATTTGATTTTGTGAAGATATACTGTTGCTTCACAGTAGTTAAAAGCCTTTCCTATGTGTTCTATACAGTGCCTATGCTGACATGTAGAGCTGCCTTTTGGTCTTAATTTTTCTTGATAATCATTCCTTGACCAGCAAGTGAAAAATTCCCTGATTATTAAGTTAAAATATGGGACCTTCATTTCTTTCTGTCCCAGTCGTCCCAAAAATCAAGTGGCAGAGTAGCTGGCACAGAATGTTGTTATCTGAGAATGCCTTTGGTACGGGAACACAGTGGTGTGAAGAAGCCAATTATACAGACAGAGTTGAATTGACAAGAGTCTTCACAGTTTCATTTGGCAAAACTGCTCACCTATTTCAGAATTGCCTGTCTGTGCAACCTCCTGCAAGATACATTTTTTGTATGTGTCAGTCTAGTCAAGACTGCTACATAGCAATGAACACTAAGCAGAATTCTGATGAAAACCTGCTTATGTAATATATGTAATGCTGGTGGTTTTTTAAAACAGGTTACTCAAGCATATAAATGAAGAGCATTTGGCTATGTCTCCTTGAGAAAGGTAAAAAGGTAAATTTCAGGTCATATAAATAATGGTACTATTTCTAATTCTGTTCCAAAAAATAAGCTGATCTCTCCATTATTGTCAGAAGCAAAAAGTTTGTAAGGCAGACACATTGTATTTCTCCTTGCTGCTTGATAGTGCTCTTGATAATAGATGTCATAATCTGGCAAGAGTGGCAAATTGGAATTACAGTAGTCTAAGACTGCTTCTAAAGACAGTTTCCTTCCCTTTCTCACTTCTTTTTTATGGCCTGTTAGATGAATTACATTAGAGATTATTGCCCCAAGTTACAAAGCAGAAAGTTTTGTACTGTTAGCTTCTGTAAAAGCTTACTTGAAACATGAAGGCATTTTGCTATCCAAAAAGATGTATTTCTGCATAATTTGTCTCTGCTGAAGAATTGTTCCATAGTAGTGCAGTTTAGG